CCTGGACATTTTCTTGTGAACTCTTCAGAATCATAAATTTTAATAACTTTCTGTTTAACAATCTTTCAAATTTTACCTTTTTATAAGCCTCAGTTATAGCAAGTATCCTTTTTTCATTTTTCGACTTTGGTGTTTTCTTAATAAGATGTTCTTAAAATAAAATGTTTTTTCGATTGATTATCAGGAGTTAACTAGAGTAACTGAATTTTTTCTTTATTCAACCTTATTTTTACTTTTTTTTTTTTTTTTTTTCCATCTAAAAGGTTTGTCTAAATCATTATAGTTTATGAGCTTTTGCTCTTTTTCCAATACTATACTTTTTGGGTCTATATCCAATGCTGATGCTACTAGGTTTGTCATACTTGTATCCAGTTTTTTAACTTTTTGATTTCCACATCCTAATTTATTGCATTTACTTACACTTTTGAGTATTTCCAATATATATATATTTTTGATATTTCCAATATATAAGTATTATAGTATATAAACACTATCACATATACATCCATTATCATATATGTAATTCTTAAAACTTTAGACTTTGATTTTAAAACCAACTCTTAATGCAATTGGAGTGTTTTACACTCAAGTTATATTCATGTGTAAAATCAAATCAATTAAATTAAATTAAGACAATGATTATATCATTTAAGGGAAAACTGAATATATTCATTCAGGGAATAGTTAAAAATATACACCTAGGCCATAGGGCTGCAGTCATGTCATATGAATATAGGTCTTTAATTTTTTTTTGGTGATTGTCTATATATAGAACTTCTACAGTAAAAACTTTCATAGTTTATTTCAACTGTTTACGCTATTTTCTGTGCCTACAAAGTGAATGTAATTTATCATATTTTTTTTAAAAAAGTGATATTTTAACAGGCTGCTGCAAGTGTTTAACTAACTTTTAATGCATAATTTTACTTTTTACCACAGGTGGTTACTCTAAGTACACAAAAGTAACAAAAAATTTGCACTGCTTTTCTGTAAGTAATGAACTGTAGCACAATAAAGTTTACAAAGTTTTTTATGTCATTGCGATTTTTAGCAACTATGGGGTACAATAACTCCAAAACTGTTTAAAATCAATCAAAAACACCTGCAAAAGTAGATTATTTGGGAGAAAAACTATTACTGTACAAAATTTTAGGTAATCACCTATTTTATTTAAAAAGTTATGGTCTGTCAAAAATCAAAAAAATCTACTGTAAGCTCTCTCTGTTAAGCTTAACAGAGCGTTTGTCAAAAATTTTATTACTACATCTTTATGTAAAGAAATAATAATGTCTTTTTATCTTTTTAATTTAATGTATGTGTATTTTATTCAAATGTAGTCTTTTAAAGCAAATTGTGTGATTGATTTTGTAAACAAAAATACTTTCAATAATAACTGCGTTTTTAATGAAATTATTAATAATCGTCAAAGTTAATACAAATATTTTAAACCACTAATCCATTTTCCTCAATACTAAATACTAAATAAACATATTTTTCTAATTTTGATTTGATCATAACTTTTGAATGGTTTCTAGCCAATCAAGCTAAAATTTTCAGGATTAAGTTTTTTCATAAAATCTGTGGGTGGTCAAAATTTGAAGCAAGTCTGAGGTGGTACCCTGGGGACCATTAAGTGATTTGATATGGAATGACCCTTAAACATTCAAAAAATAATCAGAACTCCCACCGCCAGAAATGTTTTTTTGTTTTTTCCCCGGTATATTATACAATTTATAAAAAAAAAGTTTTTTGAAAACTTGATGAGGCCAGCACAATGTAAAAAAATAATTAAAAAAAAACAAACAAACAGTTTTTCATTTCTTTATTATTATCTGCAAAAAATTGCTTATTTGTTGGTGAATATTTTTCCGTGACCAATCTTTTGAACACCCCTAGCGTTCCATACAAGGACAAATTTAAGATTTATAGAGATAAAAAATAGAAACCAGAGTAAGAAAGTGGTGAGCATGATAAAGAGATGCAACCTTGGCAGATGCTAATTTTGCAATGGATTTGATATATGGTTTCCAAGAAATATTGGAGGTAAGAATATATCATAAAAGTCTAAGGGTAGATGACACATTACCAATCGTAAATATAAGAAGATCTAGATTGTTTTGATAACAATAAGCTGAAAAAAAAAAATTTTTACCTGACATAAAGTTCACCAGTCACTGAGAACCCCATGCTGTAGCAGAAGCGAGATATTTTTCAAGTTCAAATGCCCCCACCAAGCAATCAGAGAGTGTTGGCTTTTTATCAAGACAAGAATAAATAGTAGTATCAATAGCGAATAATGCCACCTTAGATGTGAGAATTTCTGTGAGATCGTTAATGTAAATAAAAAAAAGTATATGGACAAGGATTAAACCTTGAGGAACTTACAGAAAATGAAGAAGAGTGCTGTTTGTCGAGGACAACTTCTATACTTTGATTGGCAAGTAAGGGTTCAATAATCTTAAATATGTTATCTGATACACCATTAGAAAATAGCTTATAGAGACCAGCTTGTCAAACTTTATTAAAAACTTTAGAAATATTGAGAGCTATAGCCTTAACTTCTCCACATCGTTCTAAAGCACAATAAAACCTCTCAGTTATTACTGTTAACAAATCAGAATGAGAAAATCAAAAACCATATTGATGATCAGAAAGTAGGTTATTAAATTCAAGATAAGAGATTAAGTGTTTGTTAATTAAAGATTCAAAAACCTTGCTTATGATAGGAAGAAGACTAATGGGAGGGTAGTTAGATGAATAAGATCACTCTCCTGAACTTTTGATAATAGGGATAACAGATGTCACTTTCCAACAGGCTGGAAGATAATACTTTGATAAACACTTGTTAAATAATTTTGAAAGTATAGACGATAGCTCCAGAGAACACTTATGCAAAACTACAACAAATATGTTGTCCAGGCCACAAGCTGTAAAAGAGTCAAAACAGGAAATCACTTTTGATACAGAAGCTGGAGTGATTCAAACGTCATGCAATGAATCAAGCTGTTTTGTCAGCTATATCAGGTAGGACACAACTAGTGGAATCAAGAGATGAGTTTGATGAAAAGGTTTTAACAAACAGTTTAGCTTTGTCTTTAGGCGAGGTAACAAAATATGAGAAAAAAAAACTAAAAAAAATAAATTATTGTTTAAAATTTATTATAGACACTAAATATTATAACGTAAAAAAACGTAAGATTCTCCAGACTTTTGTGGAGCAAACTTTTTTTCTTTCAATGAAAATAATATTTGGCTACAGAAAAAAATTTGACTTTTTTTTCAAGCTTAGATTTTCTTTTTTAAAAGTCAGTCATATGCTTATATTTTAGTACAGTTTTAAAGCTGTTTAATATATTTTAGAAGTAAGCTGTTATATCAAACTGAGATTTAGCTCCTTCTTTTTGACATTTAATTTTATATCCTTATCAGTAGATATAGTTTATTATATTCATATTTGAGTTTCTATCTTTTGCCATTTTACTCTAGGTCAGAGCATATGTGCTGATAAACTTTTGTGATGGTCAAATTTTGTTTTATTTTGACATTTTTATTTCATTTATAAACAATTTGTTTATTCAAAGTCATGAAAGTAAACTTTATATTATTTTCTCAGACCTTACTTGCTTTACAAAAAACATTTTTGTTACCTTTTCTATTTTACAATGGCATCATTACATTTTGCAATTGTATTCTTTTTTTTTTGCTAATAGTATGTGAGTCTTACATATGTAGATGTGTGAGTTTAACAGCAAAAATTTAAGTTAAATGCATTTTAATATCCTAAAACCTAAACTTGGTTCACTAAAAAAAATTGTTTTTGTTTTTTGTGTAAGACACCTGCACAGTTCAGGCTTTAACTTAACTTAAATGTTGTTAAAGTTTTGTGAATGCCAAATGCTTAAAAAGAAAAACTTTTCAGTTTGACTCATAAGCAAGAGGTTCCAAGTTCGATGTGTTTTCTTATTTTGTCACAAAATAAGAAAACAAAGATCACAAAATAAGAATAGAAAAAGAAAAAGTAGGAATTATGTTAACACAATCAATTAAGCACAAACAATTCATGAATTTACTTGAAACAATATTATCAACAGGTTGCACATAAGTTATTGCTGGTGATATAAATGATCACTTAGATACTAAAAAACTATATAGCAAAAGCTTTAAAGAAATACTAAATGTACTAAATCTTACATAACAAGTCAAAGAACCAACTCATAAAATGAGACACATACTATCACATACAGAAATAAAAACAGTGGACATATAGTCCTTTAACGATGAAATATTTAGAAATAAATCTGAAAATATGAAAAAAAAAATAACAATATACAACTAAGTAATGAAAGTAATTTGACATATTTTTACTCTTAGTTTTCAAAAAAGAAAGTTTTTTGAACCTCTTAAAAGATTGTTCAAAAAACTTTGTTTTCATTATTACAACTCTCTCTCTACTTTGGAATTGAAAAGACACTATTAAAACCAGGAATTTAACAGTTTAGATTGGCTGAAAGTTTTAGAAAGAGTCTATTTTAAAATCCTTTTAATAATGCACATAAAAATAACTGTTATCCTAGAAGCAGCAACCTCATTACGCAGTTTAATTTACCACTCAATGTCAGAAAGAACACTAAAATTAAAGGAAACAAAATGCAGTAATCATTTTGTAATCAAGTATTATCCCGCTATGGCCCTAAATTTTAGTATATATTTCTAAGTATTATCCGTGATAAATAAAAAAGCAACTATTTATAAGAAAAACTAAAATCTTATTTAATGATGAATGGAAAACAATTTCACCAGAAAACTGCTGTATATTAAAATTTTTACTAATATAATAATTTGTTGCACAGCTGAATAAGTGTTTTGCCAATTTATCCATTATTCTGGCAATACACAGTCGCTGTGGGTAAACCTGTATGTGTTTTTTATTTATATTATTAAAATTTAATTATATTTTTTTGGTAATATATATTATCTTGAAATTGCTTAACTTTTTTCAGTGATTAAATATCAAGAAATTAAAGATTTTCATAAAAACATTATAAAAGGTGCTTATTTGTTTTTACCATCTCTGGAAGTTTATGAGAGCGTTCCACCAGTTGCTGAAATATTTTGGAGAAAAAATAATAAATCTGAAAAGTGGGAAGTTCTTCAAAAAGATTTATACACAAAAAATGGTAGTTTGCTTATTCGAAGCGTTAATTCTGAAGAACACAACACAAGTTTTAGTTATATTATAAAACAAAAGAACGATCACTTAGTAGTTGGCTACACTGTTACTGTTAACATAATAGGTAATAATACTGTATGTGTGGATGTTTTAAAAGGTTACCATTTTAAACTATTTTATGTATTATAATTTGCATAATTACTTTCTATAACTAATATATTTTTTAATTGTTTATAGTCTAATGTTTTATTTTTATTAACAACCGAATGTATTTACAATTTATATCTTGTGCCTTAATATTCAGGAATTATTTTAAATTACTCAACATTTTTTCAAAAAATATTAAGATTATATAAAAATAATAATAAAATTTAAGGATAAATATTAAAAAAAAAAACTTTAATAATCTGATATAAAATTGAAAAATTTCTGTATATATCTTTTCCAGATATATACAGATTTCCAGATATTTCTTTAAACTTGACTGTAAATAAACTTTAAAATAATAAACTGTAAAAAAAGACTGTAAATACTTTTCTAGACTGTAAATAATTTACAGATTTTTACAAAAGTTATAAAAAAAAGAAATCTGTTTCTTTTTTTTATAACTTTTGTAAAAATCTGTAAATTATAAATGTAAATAAACCAACTTAAAAAAATTAAAAAGCATAATGATATCAAGTCTCAAGTTAATATTTTAGTTGTAATAGTTTTTTTTTGGTGTTTTTATTGTTTTGTCTATTTTTCAACTTAAATCAATTAGACTTTTTTCTAAATTTCAATTATAAATAAACAGTTAATAACTTTTTAAATAGATAAATGACTATTATTAACAACTAATAATTATGTATCTATTTCTTTTTCTAATAATTATATAGCATAATAATATTTTATCATTGCACTATAAAACATATAAAGTAATAATATACTAGGATAACATTTAATGAATAACATAATAATGTATAATATCTAAAATAAATAAATAATAATAATATATTATATAATGATATAATATTTTAAGTATACATTGATTAACATAAGAATGTATATTAAATAATATAATAATATAATACCTATAATATAGTATGAATAACATAATAATGGGCTTAAAACCAGAAAGATCATAGAGCAAAGGCTACTCTACTTTTTGCAATACCCTGTTCTTGTTTAAGTTGTCTACATATCTCTGAAAATTTTAGATTTTAATTTTTATCATAATCTTGTCAGTTTTTAAGTTGGTGCATTGAGATGAATGAACCCTTTTCAGGACCCTCTTCTACATAGTGTTTTTCTATTAGCTTATCTAGTGTTTTTTATTAAACTTGAATTTTATAAGATAATCAAGTGAATGAACTTTTGATATATTTTTTGGTGATTAAAATAAAAATTTTATTTTTGAATACACTTGACAATCAAAAAATAAAGTGACTTGTTATTGATTAAAAAATTGTTTAAAAACACTTAGAAAAATAAATATATTATTAAACTGATATAAAATATGTATATATATATATATATATATGTATATATATATATGTATATATATATATATATATATATATATATATATATATATATATATATATATATATATATATATATATATATATATATATATATATATATATATATATATATTATTTGATTATAAATTTTCTAATGAACTTTCATTGACTAAAAACTTGCTTGTTTAAAACTTAAAAATCATTTCGCATGTGTTACCTAGCCTCTACACAGTTTGTTTTCCAGAATGTATAGAGGCCAGGTAAATGATTTGTTCAATAACACTGGGCAACATAAAAAAATTTTTATCGTATATTTAGCAATTTTATTCAAATTATACTAATTTTGGGCTGAGAAAATAGAAAATGACAATAAAATTTTTTATTAGCTTTAGTTTCTGAGATGCAAAAGCAATAAATTTTTATTTTAGTTAATTTGCAACAGAGCAATATGACTAACATATAATAACAATATAATTAACATATTCTAATAATATTCAAAGTACATTTGTTTATTTATAAGAAATAAATCATACAGTTTTAAACAAAGAAATCATGATCATCAAGCTAATAGGCCTAAAGGTGATTATGGGGTATTGTCACGAGACTGTGATCTTTTTGCTTTCCTTTTATAGACTAGTTCTGGAGCATCCTTACACACAAACCAACAGTAGTATGCAAGCAAACCCTCATTCCAACGACCCTGATATCTTTGTTTCATTATAGAACTGCATGGCCACTAGGAACAGGAGAAAGACGGTTTTTGTTGTGCAGTAATACAGCTTTTCAAGGTTAGTTAAGATGAGTCTACAAATAATCTCCATTCAGTTTGATCATAGTTCAAATCAAGACAATACATTAATCCAAAAGAATCAATGCAAACAGCAAGATCTCAAAAAAAGAAAGCAGATTCTGCTGCTGTTTTCTGTAATGTTAAACCTTGAAATCAATTGGAAAAGATTCGTTTGCTTTAGTCTTGACCCTGGAATTTTACCTTTTTCTATGACAAGTCTAGATCTTGAACAAGATCACTTAATTTTGCTTGACTAAATCTGTGTGGCACATCATCTGTTTAAACAAAATCAGGATCATTTGATGTGGAAGGCTTGTTTTCTTCTTTTTCTTCTATTTCTACTTCATTTCTGCCATCATTTTCTGCTCACAACTTTGTGGTGGAACCACAAAGTTGTGGAAAGAAACTGGTAAACTATCCGAATGTGGAATAGGTCGAATGGCAAATGGAAGATTCGGGTATTTAACTGTTTCTATTTTCTTCATTGACAAATCTGCCTTAATGGATGGGGTTAAAAAAATATAAAAAGCATACAGATGGCTGCAGAAATAGCAGAAATAGGAACAGCAAAAGCCAAATACTTTTTTTCAACCATTCTCATAGTGTAACTGAACAAGAGCTACAGCATATATGTGATGCCCATGACTTATCCTGGTCTTCATATGATAAATAAAGCAGTCTTCGCAAAAGGTGTCATAGTTTGTTTCTGTAAGGAAAATGTTATTTCACCACAAATGTAAAAATGGACAAATCTTTAACATGTTGATTTGTCAAATTTTACACTAGTAAATGAAAAAAAAGAATAGATTAGACCAGAAATTTTAGCAAACACTTATAACAAATATCATAAGTTTTAAACATGAATAAACTGTTATGGATAGTCAAAAATAAAACAAAACAAAATATTTTTTGTTTGTTTTTGACTATCCCTTGAGAAAAAATTTTTGCTTTTATTTCTTAAACTAGAGCTAATATGTCATTTTTGAATTCAGCAGATGGAAATTTATAAGAAATAACTAAATTCGGTTCCGAAACAAAATCACTGTTGGGCAATGTAAAATAAACTGTATAATTGTTAATTTCACTGATGTTAAGGAAGGACAGAAAAAGTTTTTTAACTTTTTTATATTGTCTTTTAATTTTAATTAACTGACTTTCATAAAAACTTTAATTGGGGCTTCATTAATCAAAGATGTACAACAACAATTTGTCTGTATTTGTTATATGTTTAATGTCATGTTATGAGGTTTTGTGTTTTAACACAAAACTGCTAACACATTTTAAAGAAAAAAGTTTTTTTTTCTTTAAAATGTGTTAAAACATTTTTTGTATAAATGTTTTCATTATAAATATAAATATATTATCTGAAGATTTTTGTAAACGTATTTTCCAAGTAAAAAACCAGTAGGTATAAAATAATAAGATTATATTGTAAATCTTCAATAATAAGTATTTGACTGAATCTTGTTTTCTTGCTTGCTGAAAAATGGCATAGGTTGTTCCAATTTTTAAAAACTCCAGAGAACATTATGAAGTCTATCCTCAAATCAGTCTTCCATCTGTTATTAGCAAGGTCTTTGAGTCTTTGATTAACAAATATCTGACAGACAATCTAGTTTTTAATCCTCTTCCTCTATGGCTGAATTGTTAACTGTTGTGACTGAAAGATTTTATTGTGCATTAGTTAGAGGCTAGGGCTATTGCTCTTGACATATCTAAATCTTTCGACAAAGTTTGGCATGGTGGTCTTCTCCATAAGCTTGCTTCTTATGGTGTATCTGAGAATGTTTTTGAGATAATCAAACCAATTTTTTCTAACTGCTTTATTAAAGTTATCTTTGACGGTCAACACTCTTCTTTATTTTCAGTAACATCTGGGGGTTGTCAAGGTTCTATCCCTGGTCCTGTTTTGTTTTTCATCTATATTATTGATCTTTTTGAAATCTAAAGTAACTCTATTTGCTGATGACTCAACTTTATATTCCTGTCAAAAGTCTTCTCTTTCCGATTGCTTAGAACAGGTAGATTTTGAATCTGATCTCACTTCTGTAACAGATTGGAGCTTGTGAATTTTAACACCAACAAAACTCAGTTATTTACTGCAAAAAAACTATTAAAATAAACTAGCAATACTGTCAACTATATTGATGAATGGCAACCCTCTCACTGCGTCCTCTTCTTTACATCTTCTTGGATTATTGTTTTTTCCTGTCCTCTAATGAAAACCATATATTTAAATGATTCTGAAGTTACTATTTCCTAAGGTTGCTTCTCTTTATCATGCTTGCCATTATCTTACTACTGATTCCATTTTCTACCTCTACAAATGTCGTTATTTTATATTTTTAATAATTTATATTAATCAAGTGTAAAAATATATTTTTATGCCCATTGAAGTTTATAACCCACAATGAAAAAAAAATTGATTTAAATGAATTTTATGTATCAAGAATAATTCTAAGAAATATATATATAAGAATAAATAAGTTTTTAACTTTAGTGCAAGCCATAAAAAGCTTGTTTAAACCAGTTTAGAGAGCATGGGCATAAGCAAGAGCTATAGATTTAAAATTTATTATTTTATTTATTTTAACTGGGTTAAAATAAATACATAAATTTATAAGTATTTATTTTAACGCAGTTAACTTATGCAAGTAGTAAATCGAAAAATCACTAAGTTAATACATTGATGAACATTTCTACAAAAACATATTTACAAAAATTATTTATTTAAAACTGTTAAAATCAAATACCACTTGATAACATGGAGTATTCTAGAGTTTTATGCAATTGAATTACACATCGTGGAATATATAAAGAAATTTCTTGCTACCAAGGTATATTTCTAAAGACTTCGCTATTTCAAAATATACATATTAATTTTAGTGATTTCACCTGACTCAAATCAATGTGAAAACATAAGTCTTGCCTTGATAGAAATGCCAACTAATGTTACAGTCTATGCTGGACAAGACATATCAGTTGAGTGTTTAACATTTTTTTATCGTTGCAGGTTATCTTTTTTTTTTTAATTATTTTTCTTTATAAACGATAACTAAATTAAATAAAATTTAAATTTTTGTATTTTCTTTTTATACTTTTAAATTTATCTTGAAAATTTTAATGCGTAGATACTTTTATTATTCTTTTTTTATTTAGTTTACCTCCAGGTATTAATTGGTATTATAATTATACAAATATTAAAAATGAAATTTTAAGAAACAAAGCTTTTCTTTGTATTTCTAACATCAATCTTTTAGATAGTGGTTAATTTTAATTTTTTTTTCTTTTAATTGTTCATTTTATTATCACAGGGTTGATTATTTTTTATAAATAATAACTGTTTTTTTTTTTGTCTGTTTGTTTATACATTAAAGTTTCTTTAAAATTTTTATGCATAGATGTATTTTATTCTATTTATTTTGTAGTTTTGCTCCACCTATTACTTGGTTTTATAATTATTCAAGTGTTAAAAATGAAATTCCAAAAGCCAAAGCTGTTCTTCATATTTCTAACAGCAGATTATCAGATAGCGGTAACTATATTTGTAAAGTAACAGGATTTAACTATCAACTTCAAACAATTGTAACTGTTTTAGGTAAATATTTTCTATTGTTTCATTTCGATTTCATATGTTTTTGTTATATAATGTTTAACATTTTATCATGTTTTTAAATAATACAAATTAAATAAATAAATAATAAAAGTAATTTTTAATTTTAATGATAAAATCTTGAAGTATTAATTTTAAAGATAAATTTAAAAAAATCTTGAAAAAGTATTAAATAATTTTTATGTTCAACAAACATTTTCTTTAGTTAACTGCTTCATTTTGATTGATTAGGATAACTATTTTTCAGGAAAAAAAACAAAACAAAAACTTTATATTTTCAAAGCCATTATAAAAGGCTCTAACGAGCTTGTCTTTATATTAATTAAACTGACATTGTTTTGTGTATGTTATGTGTGAAACCCCTGTCTCCAGCAAGGCTAGATTGCAGAAATGCTAGCACTATTTATGGTGGGTTGTTACTGTTGACTTAACTAATGCTAGAACTATGCTTTTTGTATTATTGAATAAAATTACTAAATCATTGTTGATTCACAAGTAATTGAATTAAAAGTGTGAAGCAACAGCAAACAAGAAACAAGTTTGGTGGCTTGATGTTGAACAGCTTTGAGAGTGTTTGTGTCTTTTCAATAAAAGAGGCCTTTATGCTGCAGTATACTCTAAAGTGTACTCTAAATGAGGTTTAACATAAAACAATTGACGCATAAAACAATTTGAATCATAACACTAAGATCTCACTTTTAAAATGATCAATTTTTGAAATGGAAATAAGTTTTATGACTCAAACCACTTATAATTTCATTGATTTTTAAATAAATTATCCAGTTAGTGATATAATTACCCAAATTAGGCCTATTATCATTGTCATTATGTAATAATTTTAAACAAAATTAAAACATTCAACAACTTTTCATTTTTGTTTTATAATAATATAGCTTTTGGAATAAAATATTTTAGTTTTGTATTGATTGTGTGACCAATGATTTTGTATTGATTGTGTGACCGATGATTTGTATTGATTGTGTGACCACTTTTAAAGCTGACTAATATTATTTAATTAATTAAAAGTTAATGCTTGTATAACATGTTTGAGTAAAGCACTTTTTTAAGTAATGACCAAAATTAAAAATTATAAAAGTTTTACATTTTTAAAGTTCTAAACCTGTTCTGTTATTTCCTAATGAGGGTTCAGCTCTAAAACTCGTTTTAATGGTTCTTAGACTGGCTGGTTATAAGGTTTACCGAACTCTGTGGTAATATCTCAGAGAGGCACTGATTCCATGAACAGTTGTAAAATATCAGAGTGTTAACAGTGCCATGTTGCGCATGCATGGATGCAGAAGGATCCATTTTATTGCTCATGGATTGCAGATGTCTTTGTTAATGCTTTTGATGAGTCACATGTTGAGGCCAATTATTGAGCCCTAAGTTATGACTTAATATTAATTAGCAGGACTGAGACAACTGTATAGCTCATTACTTAGGATACCATGAATACCATGTTCTATCTATGAATGAATCAAGTTCTCTTTAAATTTAAACCATGCCGAAAGTAACCAAAAATACTAAAAATAAAAAACTATCCTACCGCCCATCTGTTTCAATATATCTTTCACAAATATTCGCGGTCTTCAAAGTAACTTTCCGTTAGCTGAATCTTACCTCGTGCAAAATTAGATTAAAAGATTGAAAGCTGAAAACCAATCTAGATTGGTTTTCAGCTTTCAATCTTCTTCTTTTACAGCTGACTTGCTAACTACTGTGACTGAAAGATTCTACTGTGCATTAGATAGAGGCAACAAGACAAGGGTTATTGCTCTTGACATATCTAAAACTTTCCATAAAGTTTAGCATCCTGGTATTCTCTATAAGCTTACTTTAGTGTATCTGGGAAAGTTCATCTTGGTCTTCTCTTTTAGCTTACTTAAGAAATCTGGGAAAATTTTTTGAAATTATCAAATAATTTTTTTCCAACTGTTTTATTAAAGTCATCTTCAAAGGCTGACACTCTTCTTCATTTTCCAGTAACTTCTGGGGTACCTCAAGGTTCTATCCTTAATCATATTTTGTTCCTTACCTACCTTAATGATCTTCCTGACAACCTTATATCTAAAGTAGCTCTCTTTGCTGGCGACTCAACTTTATAGTTCTATTTTGGAAAAACGTTTTTATTTTTCGATTACTTAAAACAGCAGCCGATCTTGACTTTGATCTCACATTTGTAACAGATTGGGATTTGCAGTGACTTGAAAAATTGAAATTCAACTCCAACAACACTAGCAATAATGTTTAAGTTCCTATATTAATGATTGGCAGCCCTTTCACTGAGTTCTCTTCTAGTTCCATCAACCACAACTCATTTTTGGTTGACTTCTCTTTCAGTAAAGCCACATTCTTTTATTGTATTGATCCTTGCATACTCTAAAAGCTTTTGTCTAGTTTTTTCCCCTGCACTTTAACCCTTGTTTCCATCTTCATGTTTCCTGACTCATACAACCTTCAACTTTTAAATTCTTATATAAACCGTTTTTTTGCTCTTTAACTCTACTCTTTGTTTTCTAGTAACATTTTTTTTCTCCTTACTTAATAGTGACTATTTGCAGTCTTGTTAGGAGTGAATTAGAATTAAAAAAATAAAATGTAATCTTCCTTCATAAATTAAAAATGAAGAATCTGATTTTGTTTCCAATACATCAGAGAAAAACATCATCCAGAAACTTCAGTCAGTGATACTAATGACTATAATTATACCTTTATAAAAAGAAAGACTAAGCAAGACCAAATCCACTACTTAGTAAAATGGACTAATTTAAGTTCTTCTAAAACAGCAAAACCTTGCAAACAATTATCTGACCAAGATATTAACATCTCAACACCAACTCGATCTGCAATATATAAAGCATCTAATAAAAAATCACTGAAAATGCAATATGATTTTGAAAAAGCAACTGTGGGAAAACATTAAAATATGATACCACATAATGTGTGATACAACACGTGACGTAAAGAATGGAGTTGTTGTAATGATCCAACAGAAATTTATAGAAAAAAAGCATTTCTAAACCACAGATGTTAACATCATGTATTGAATTTAGTTATAAAGCATTTAATTGATCAAACTCTTGGTGGAATTCCAACACAAAGAAGTAACACAAAAATAACACAAGAAAAAAGTAATTCACTTGTGTTGAAGAAAGGAGTAACACAGGCACTGAAGAAAGAAGTAGTTCATTTGCTCTGAATGGACAATTAAAATTACACACAAAATGTAGTGTACTATATAAACTACTAAAAAAAATCAATTTGAAATTTATTTTATCAAACAAGTTGTTTTATTGTATTATATTATTCAATCGCTGCTTTTTGCTTTTTGTTTAATATTATATCCAATTTTTCTATATTAGATATATTAATATTAGATATATTAATAAGAGATTAATAATATTAATTAATATTAGATCCAATTTTTATTATACTTTTTTAGGTCCTAAAATATTCCAAAAATTAGGTTAAGTAAAAACATATTTGTTGTATTTAAACATATTTGTTGTATTTAAACATATTTGTTGTATTTAACCATAAAAATTAGGTTAAGTAAACATACTTGTTGTATTTAACAATAAAAATTAGGTTAAGTAGTATCATTTAAATGGTATATTATAATTAATGTAAAAAAAATTTATTGAATGTTAATAACCATTATTAATACATTATAAATAAATTATAATTATAAATCATTATAAGTAGTTGGGTACTTTTGTCAATAACATCAAGAACTATCTTATAAACATTAAAAATGGAAAAAGCTATTAATGCTTATCATAAAAAATAATACTAACCTTTAATATTTTGAGTTGACTTAAACCGTCAACTAACAGTTTTGAATAACTTAGCCTTAAGTACTCGAGCTCAAGGAAAAATCAAAGTTGACAAACAATTGTAATGGAGTAGTTGATCTGTAAAACTGTTCATTACTTATTTTGGTATCATAAATAACTTAAAAACTTATTAATAAGTTATTAGCGTTACAATATCACTATATAGTCACTAATAATATTATAAAATCTATATAGTCTCGAATGGTACTCTAAAATTGCTTCTTTTTTTAAATACAAATAATTTATTATGCAAAGTGGCATGAAATAATATTTCCTTCTAATTATTATTTCCTAGTGATTAACATTCATTACATGACGATGTTGAATTTCAAAATTGCTGTTTTAAAAAAGTTTAAAAGAAATTATGTATTATGAGGATAGCTTAAGTTATTATTGTTAATAACACATATTGCACAAAAACAACATATTGCGCAAATAAAAGAATTTCATTTTAAAAGAAAAAGCAACAACAAGAAGCTTTCTATTTGGTAAATAAAAGATGGCTCAAAATAAGGTTTTAAGTTTTCAGAAAAACACAGACAGGAGATGATGCAAGGGAGTGCTGTTTCATATAAAATGAACTCAAATTTGATAAAACAGCATTCTCTTGAATATTTTCCCTAAATCTTTATATTGTCTGGTAGGCATTTTTTAAAAAATGTAAAAACCTCATTTTGAGCCCTAACCATTCTGTTTAGCAATATTTTTTTGCTGTTTGCATTTGTTTTAAAAGCTCTATCTTAAAACACATATTAAAAAAATCACTTAAATACATCATTGTATATATATTGTTATATATATTGTTGTATATATTTGTTAACAGTTACTTACAGTGAAATAAACATAAATCTAGAGGTGCTTAAGTTAGTTTTTTTCATTTTTTAAATTTTTTTTTAAAAGTGAAGCTAAAATGCCCAAAAATGAGTAGAAAATAAGTTTATACTTCGAAGTTTGCATTTTAACATATAAATGTATGGCAAAAACTACAATTTATAAAACTGGCTGTAATATAATTTAAGTTTGTATGTACCTTACCTTTTTATTTCCAAAATTAAAATCAGAAATAAAACTTTTTTATCTTATGCATGTTTTATATGATAGGGTGGTGCTAAAAACAACTTTGCTGACACCCCTTGAATGTGTTCTATATAATACTGGATTTAAAAATTTTTTGAATAAAAAATATCACAAGACCTTTAAACATCAAACAGGTCCCTTAATATTACCAAAAAAAAGTTTTTCAAAAGAATGTCATGTTGGGTCTCAAATGAAGTGAAATATGAAAATTTCAAAAATAGTCATCATTTTATAAAAAATTATTATTTTAGATTTTAATAAACAGAAAACAGCATTTTTTAACTAAAAACGAAAAATAAGAAAATTAACCAGATTTTTTATTATAATATTTTTAAGTGATATTTTTTTATAAAATGGTTATTTTTGAAATTTATATGCAATATCTAAAAAAAACCTAAACATACTTAAAAAAAACTTTTTTTTGATAATATTAGGGACCTATTTAATGTTTAAGGGTCTCGTGGTACCCCTAAAATTTTTTTTTTTTTGAATTTCTTCAAACCCAGTATTATTTTATTATATGGAACACATTTACGGTGGTGTCAGCTGACATTTTCAAAATAAAGTTATTTTAAGCACCACACTAATATATATATATCTGTGTGTGAGTATTTTCGTGTGTGTGTGTGTGTGTGTATAAACACATATGCACACGTACATATTGAAAATTTAATAATTTGTTCCTTTGAAAGACGTAATCAACATGTTGTGATTGTATCATATAGTAAATTTTTACTATATTATTTGTTCTACCTATTATATAACACATTGTATTATTTGTTCTACCTATTATATAACACATTGTATAAATTATTAACATAATTTTTACAAAGACTTTTGCAAGATAAGCAGGGTGAGTAGTGTTTTTTTGATAAATTTGTTAATATTTTACCACCACATTGGATCACATCAGTTTTAGTTGTTCTTATAAATCTTATAAGTTTATCTATGTGGGTGATAATGATGTTGTAACCTAAAGAATTAGTTTTTTATTTAACACATTTAGAGAAAAAAAAAATGTTACTTTTTATGATTTTTTAAAACAAAAAAATTGCAAAATCGTTTAACATTTTTTTAAAGCAAATAAAGCGGAAAGTTTTATTAAGCTCTGGGTAAGAGAGAACTAAAAAATTAAAAACTTTCCCCCTCTCCATAAGGTGAGAGTAAGTATCAACAACATTTGGATGCTGTAAATGTTGAAACACATGAATCAAATAATTTTAAAAAATTTTAAAAAGTAGTGTAAAACTCACAAAATCTATAAATCAAAGGTCAAATCTGATTGGTTCAAATCTGATTGTTTTGGCTTTAATTTTTTTGTAACTATATTATAATTTGTATTTAAATTCCTTTTTATTTGTATATATGTAAAAATTTTGAAATTAGAAAAAAAAAAACATTCTAATCTGTTAAGTATAATATAAAATATAATTACAAAATACAATAAAATCTGTTTAACACTTTGTTTTAAGTTTTACTGGAGAACAATTTGTTAAATCTTTAAATAAATGTGTGTGTGTGTGCGTGTGTGTAAAAACGGATCTAAAAAATAATGTTAAATAAAAAATAAATGTAAAAAAAAAAACTATTTTTATATAAAAACTGGTTTTTTAATTGCAACATGCTGATAGCAATTGCAATAGTAATATATTGCAATAATCATATTGTCCTTGTTTTTAGTAACCATAACATCGGATATAGTTCTATATAGTTCCAGTTGGTTTCATAAATTTTTACCTGTGATGGAGAGATTTTACATTTCTTTAAAATTAATAAAGCAGGGAGTCTTAATAAGTTCTGAGTAAGTACTTTCCCTCTCTCCATCAGGTGATAATAAGTACCAAAAACATTCAGATGCCGTAAATGTTGAAGCGTACAAATCAAATAGTTTAAATGATGTAAAATTCACTAATATTAAGCCATAAACCAATGCTGTAAATTAAAATGCTATAAATCTTTGTTTGATTTGGCTTTAATTGTTTGTTAAAAACTTCATCAGCTTAATTAGTGCAAAATATTCAAGTTTTTAATTGTACAAATTGCTAAAGTAATTCCTAATCAAAATTTGAATTTCATTTGAGACAAAGTTAAGTATTGGTCATGGTTAGCTATAAATTAGGAACAATTATAAATTAGGATAATTATAATTAATTATAAATTATAAATTTATAATTAATTATAAATTTGCTTTGTCTCGAATTCGAGTTATATCAAGTTATATCAAGTTACATACATCGTCATTCAATATTAGCATCATATTGCATAGCGTTTTTTTAATATCAACTTTAAGTACTTTTTAATATCGTTTTTTTAATATTAATTTTAAGTAAAGAAGGCTATAGAATGGTAGGTAGTAACTTAAGCTTCAATTAAACTTTGAACTTGAAATTTAAATGAACAAATTTGTTTCTCTGCATAGCGGCTTTGTTTATAAAGATTTGTGTTTAGGAGTAAAAGAGTTGAGAGACAATTGTAACCACAGTAAGGTTTGTAACCACAAACGATTGTAACCACAGTAAGGTTTGTAACCACAAACGATTGTAATCACAGTAAGGTTTGTAACCACAAACGATTGTAACCACAGTAAGGTTTGTAACCACAAACGATTGTAACCACAGTAAGGTTTGTAACCACAAACGATTGTAACCACAGCAAGGTTTGTAACCACAAACAATTGTAACCACAGTAAGGTTTGTAACCACAAACGATTGTAACCACAGTAAGGTTTGTAACCACAAACGATTGTAACCACAGTAAGGTTTGTAACCACAAACGATTGTAACCACAGTAAGGTTTGTAACCACAAACGATTGTAACCACAGTAAGGTTTGTAACCACAAACGATTGTAACCACAGTAAGGTTTGTAACCACAAACGATTGTAACCACAGTAAGGTTTGTAACCACAAACGATTGTAACTACAGTAAGGTAGCCTCCTCCAATGATGTATGAGTTAAAGTGGCCTTCTCTGGCCACTAATACTCATTTAAATTCACCTAGGGAGGTAAATAACATTACAGATTAAAAAATCTCAATCAATAAAAATATTTGAATAAAAATTGTTATAATGTATTTCCAAATAATGATTCAAATATTAGTAAACCTAAAGAATTTTTTTTTATTCAATAAAGTTTTCTTTTGTGATACTCTTACTATTTTACTATATTGGTGTTGGAATTTTGCCACGCTGAGTTTTTGTTATTTTCAAAACTTGAGTTGAGAGTGTGTTTGCCCGTGTTAGTTAAAATGCATTTGTGTTGTTTTGTTTAAATATTGAATCAAACTTAATAATAAGTTTTTGTATTTGATTTTTATAGTAAAGCCAAGTCTGAATATCATATCTGAATCTGTAACAATTTATATCAAAGATGATGCTCCAATCACATTGGATAAAATAGCATTAACATCAACTGTTGGTCTAAAAAGTTTTGAATGGTATTTTAATGGAAAATCTTTGTCTAGAAATTCAAAATACAATTATACTTTAGATTACAAACTAATAGTTAATCAACCAGTTGAATCTGATTCTGGAATTTATCAAGTGTTTTATTTTTTTGATGGATTTGAATTAAAGCATGCTTTCAATGTATTTTTCCTTAACGGTTAGTATTTGTATAATTTTAAAACAAAAAATATTGAATACATTGTTACCACAGTCCTGGAATGTTCTTGTTTTTTACAAGTGTCCTGAAATATTCTATAAAATAACATTTTTTTTTAAATGTCTTATGTCTTGGAATTTAGTTGTTAAAATTTTATATCCACCATGTAATTAAAGTAAATATAAAGTATTGTTAATACCTAATTTTTTATTAATTTATTAATTATATTTACATTGTTTATCTTCTCAAATAAAATTATAATTTTTAGTTTTATTTTAAATTTACAAACTTTTTTTATTTATATAAATGATTTTTTTTATTAGATGAAACTATTAAAGTTACTGACTTACTTACTTCAACATCAACTTTATCTAGTAAAGTTTTAACAACAAATTTTAAAACCTTATCCCATTCTACTGAGGCTGTAAAATTCTCTTCTTTATCATTTGTTTCTGTTTTTTCATGGACCAAATCACCACCACTTGTTCCTAATAAAGAGTTCATAAAAAATGGTATGCTTTACTTTTGTGTAACTTTTTATGTTTAAAAAAAAAAAAAAACTAAAAAAAAAAAACAATAAAATATTTGTTACAAATCATAGTTAGTATAATTTATTCTGAAATATAGGATGTTTGAATGAATGGATGATATTTTGGGTTTAAATAGAACTAGAAAAACAACTAATGAAACTAATACCAAAAGACGCTTGTTTGATAAATACATTAACTTACTAACGACTTCAAGTAAATTTTAATTATTTTTTAATAGTTTTTTGTTTTAGTCATTTTCTAATAAAATTTTTTTTGTTTTGACTAATCATCTTTTTTTTATTTCCCATAACAACTAAATAATTTTATTTTTTGTGTTGTAAAAAACTCAAGTATAATTTATTTTTACTACCAAAGTTAATAATGCTTTTTGTTGTAGGTGCATTAATAATTAGCCTGTCTGTTGGAAGTGCTGTTTTGGTTATTGGCCTGTTGATTGGCTTAATTATGAGGTATTAAATGTCTTTAAAATCATGCAGTAGATTTAGATTTTATTTTATTTTATTTATTTTTTTTGATATCAGCTGTAGATCAGCATTCTGATATTGAAGTTTTTTTCTACCTTTTTTGTAATACTTATCTATATGAATTTAAATTATAAATTAATATTGTATATAAATAATAAATTTTGTTAATAAAAAAGTATTAAATTGGTTCCAATTCAATATTAAAACAATTTTTTTTAAATTAATAAATCTAGGGAATCTAGTACCAAGTTTAACAGTCGTTTATTTTTGTTGTTGAATTTTGTCTATTTTTTTTTTATAACTCTCTCTGTATAATTGTGTGTGAGAGTAAGTGTGTAAAGTGTACATAACTAGCCCTATGGGGCCCCGTCAAATGCGGTATTTTCAAATGCTCAAAAAATTCAAATTCCCAATTTAAAAGTGAAAAAATCTTATCTTCAAATAAAGTTTTCCAAACTAAAGTTGAATAATAATTCTAAAAACTATTGAAAATTAAATATTTTTAAAAACTAATAGAAAAATAACATATAAAAACTCTAATTTATTTTGTAAATCTTGAAGTAAAATTGCTGTTATTGGTTTAACTATGCGACTGCATAACTGTGAAAATGTCTATTGGAAAAAATTTCTTGAGAATTAAGATATTCCCAGCAATTTTAGGGAATTTCTCGGCAACTTGCTTGTAAATTTCATTTCTCAAAATTTGCAAATATTTTTTTGCAATGCGTTCCCACAACAGCAAATATTATATAAAAAAAAGTTGACAAGAAATAGAGTACAAAAAAAAAATAAATAATAAGAAACTTGTTTGGTTTATGACTGAAAAGTTAAATAATTTATTAAGTTTTACTGCAAACTCTACTTCAAGTAGTACATTTGATTCATTAACAAAAATATTGAGAAGGCGCTTACGTCAGATACTTTGATCAATTATGGGTAACAGAAATTTTGATCAATTATAGTAAGTCTTTTAGTTATTAGGCCTGGTGAATAAAAAAAAAGCAATTGCTTTTACTCAACGTTTTTGAAGTAATTGTTCAGCTTGACCTGAGTAAAAATTTTAGCAAACTCGCTCAAATTTTTATTCACGTAAAGTTATTTGTCACAATGCTAAGTAATTGTTCAGCTTTAATAGAAGTTTGAGCAAAGTTGCTGAAGTTTTTATTCACTTAAAGCTGACGAATTACTAAGTAAAAGCAAATGCTTTTATTTATTCAACAGGCCTATTGTTTATCTTTTTTTTTTTGGTATTTTATATCAACTGAATTACGTGATCGCATTGGCTAAAATCATTTTTTACTTATCTTCTACCTTTTTTCGACTAACTCTTTTAAAAAACCACCTCTGAAATATAAGTTAAATACAAAAAATGTTTTATGATTATAAAAATTTGGTGCTAGAAATTTATTTAATGAGGAAAATAGGTTTCTTTACTTTACTGCTTGCTATTATTTAAAATGTAAATTAAATACGTGTATTAAAACATAAATGAAATATAAACTGGAGTCACTGCTTGCTTAAAAAATCAAGAAAACTGGAGTTATTGCTAGCTTGAATTTAAAAGGTAAAAACAAATTTATATATTTTAATGAACCATATTCACATTTTATGTCTATGAATGAAAAAATAATTATTGGTATTCTTCGTTGCCACGATAGCGTGCAAGCTCTTGCAATTAATATTTTTTTGTAATTATATGACTTTTGTTGTTGTTTTTGCTGAGATTTTGTAATTATAACTTTATTTCGCTATGCAATTTATGTCTAAAGAAAATTAATATTAATTATAAAAATGAACTTGCAATAAATATAAAATTTATGAGCTTGTGTTTATTATTTTCAAGTCTTTTCTATTTTTCTATTTTTAAAACATTTCTTTTGAAGAAACAATTTTTTAAATAATGGTTCAAACGTTTATCCATAAAGAACGTCAAGCAGAATTTAAATAATAAATAGAAGTACTACTTCTATAAAGACCTGCATAGAGTTAGGTTTCTTGGGATTCCTGCGGGGATGGGTTCAGTTTCTGCGGGATTCCCACGGGGATGGATTGTAAAATTGCGGGAACCCTGCAGGTATGGAATGGATTTTTACAAAATAATAGTTAAAATGAAGATCAAATTTTTATTTATTCTCACAAAAAATTTGGTTGTCTAATCTCTAATGACCCGTATGTCAATTTGACATACAGTTATTGTATGATTTTTGTCTGGGCTTACGGGAACAGGATTTTGAAGGTTATTTATTTTGGTTTTCAGAAGGGTCCCATATGGTTAAAAAATCAAGTAAATCTGCTTGATTGCCCAGCCAACCAATATATATGAGTACCATATGGGACTCGTCCGGTTTTCTGGTATGGAATACATATTATGTATCCCATACCAGATAACCAAACGAGTCCGGTTATCTGGTAATTATGCATAATTCTCCCCTGATATTGTCGATGATCTGTTGCTTTTGCAAGGGCTTAAACATTGACTTTAATTTTTCTAAATTAGAGATTTATGGTTAACATTGTTTCATTTTATTTCTTTTTTGTGTATTTTTAAATAAAATAAATTCTTTTGACTATACTTTGAGAAATTTTTTTATAAGCGTTTAAACTCTATTAATTAAACTCTTGACTATATTTTAATAAATTTTTAATGCTATTTTTTGGGAAGGGTTGATAAATGTTTGTGGATATTGGTGGTGATGGAAGAAAATGATTGTGGGTATGGGTGGGGATGGAAAGAGATATAAGAAAACAGTCCTACGCATTTCTGTAACACATTTTAATATCAGGGGAGGAGGGGGTGGTATTGGAAAATTTTTTGACAAATTCCCAACATCGTCAAAACGCCGTATCAAATTTATTCCTGGTTAACACCCTGGTGTATATATATATATATATATATATATATATATATATATATATATATATATATATATATATATATATATATATATATATATATATATATATATATGTATTTATATATATATATATATATATGTATATATATATATATATATATATATATATATATATATATATATATATATATATATTTATTGCATGATAAGCCAAAGAGACTTTATTGGTAAAAAGTTTCTTTTAATGTTTATTTTTTTATCACTTAAAACTAACTACTTTCAATTGTTCAAAAAATAGTAGTTAAAAAAAAAAAAATTTAATTGCATTACGAAAAATATGATATAGTAAATGACTTCATTTAAAAGATTTTTGAATATAAATTTCTAAAGATTAGAATTCTTGAAAAAAAAAAGTTTTTAGCAAAAAAATAGCTTGTTAACATTATAAATTATGTGTTTTTTGTCATTTCTGCTGCTTTTTATATATGTCATTTCTGCTGCTCTTTATATATATATCATTTCTGCTGCTTTTATATATGTCATTTCTGCTACTTTTTATTATTTTATTTTATTATCTACTTTTTATTATCCAGTATTATTTATTATCCAGTATTATTTATTATCCAGTATTATTTATTATCATAATTTTACATGATAAAAAGAGAATATGTTTGCTTGATAAGTAAACAAATAAAACAAAATCATTTGAAATTGAAAAAAGTTTTTTAAAGTATTTCATCAAATTTCAATTAAATTTTAGTCAGGTTGCCTGATAGCAATATCAGGCAACAACTAAAATATTATTGGATTAATTGTGATTAATGTGTTGGATTATTTGATTAATGTGTTGCAGAATAGAAATATTAGATATCTCTAGTTTACTTATGTTTTATGTTTGATCATATATGGTCAGAGTATAAAATAACTTAAAACTACAAACTTAACCATAAAACAACTTAAAACTACAAACAACATAAATACAACAAAAACAGTGTGTAACATCATGGTATGGGGGTTTATTTCCCATATTTGTTAGTAAAATTCATTCACTTTTTCTAAAGTTCTATCCAAATCTTTTAAACTTGTAGCTGTGATTATTTCAAAAGACTATGTCACCATATTTATGAATTTAGTTATAAATTTCATGGCTTTGATAGTTTGGTTTCCTTGATAGTTTGGTTTCATGATCATTAATAGATCACTTTTTTTCTTTTTTATAATTATATTTGAAAAAAACTTCTAATCAAAAACATAAAAAATCATATAGTTATTTTAATAAATGTGATAATTAATATAAGATAAATCATTAAATAATGTCTAATTAAAGTCACAAATGTTTATTTAATATAATATAAATGTCACAGACATTTAATATAAAAAGAGAATAAAATCTAGCAAAAAAAAATTAAAAATTTAACTAAAAAAAAAAAAAAATTAAAGAATGACAAAATAAACAGCAGAAAAACCAGAAAAAATTAAAACATTTATTATTTAATGTAAACTTAATTGTACGGAAAGTTAAAAAAAAACTTATCACAGCTTTATCAATCATTACCTCCCATAAATAAATAAGCTAATACAAGAGCAGATTCATAGTAAGGGGGAGGGCCATGAGAGCATCTGCCCCCACCCCATCCCAGATTTATTTATTTATTTAAAAATTATTATATTTAATACAGCACGAGGTTAGTAAATTAGACTAAAAGTACCTTGAAATTCAATAAAATTTTGTGGTGGATGCGTTTTTTAGCAACGATGATGCCTATTATTTTATAATATTTTAAAAATTGTAACAAAATAAAAAAATAATAAAGAAATAAATTCCAGACACAGCTGTTTTATTCATTGGCTTGCTTCGAATACAGTTGCTGAAAAAAGCACCTTAAATAAAGGAAAACAAATTAATTACAAAAATCTTGAAATAGTCGCATCTGCAAACCTTTTTTTGAACTATCCTAATAACTTTTTTTATAAAATTTATGATTTGCACCACAAAATTTTATTGAGTTTCAAGGCACCTTTAAACAGCCTAATTTAAGAACCTTTTTAAACATCATGCTGTGTTAATTTCTAAATAAATAAATAAATCTGGCAGTTTATTTTAACTAGGTTTGCTTTGTTTTTTGTAGCGCATTTTTTAAAAGCACTAATTATCAAAACTTGCAAAGAGCCATGATCAAGTTGTCAAAACAAAGTATTACATCCGTAGTCATATAATCCAACCACATGCCTCTTACACGAAGGCCTGTCCTAATACATTTATCAGTGTTTTTTATACCAATGTCAGAATAAAATTTTTGCATTACTAATAATGTATGTTAATTATTATTTTTATAGAAAACAAAATAAAAAGAAAGAAAATAAAGGAACGGAAATGTCTGGTATGTTTGTATTTTATTTATATATATATATATATATATATATATATATATATATATATATATATATATATATATATATATATATATATATATATACAATGTATATGTATATATATATATATATATATATATATATATATATATATATATATATATATATATATATATATATATATATATATATATATATATATATATATATATATATATATATACAATGTATATGTATGTATATGTATGTATATATATATATATATAAATATATATACATACATATACATTGTATATGTATGTATATATATATATATATATATATATATATATGTATATATATACATATATATATATATATATATATATATATATATATATATATATATATATATATATATATATATATATATATATATATATATATATATATATTATTTTTGTTCATTGTTAATTTTATCTTCCTAATGGAAAATACTAATACCAAGTTTAGTCAAATACTCAAGTTTTATTTTTATAAACAGTTAAGTACAGGTAATGACTTTGTTTTCAATTTTAGTTGATGGATTAATACTTTTTTAAAAAAAGTAAATATTGTTGGTATCATACTCAAAGCAATAAATATAGTTTGTAAGTTAATATAACTTAATACTAAGTTTAATATAATATACTCAGGTGGGAATTGAACCTGGAACTCAATGATTACCAGGTTGGCGCTCTAACTGATCAAGCTTTAGATGTTCATATACACACAAGATAATAAACTTTAATAAAACAATATAATCAGCAATAAAATTAAATGGCAATAAATAAAATGATGTAGGGGAAGACAAGGAAAATTCGACCATGGGGAACATTCGACCTTTACAAATATTTCCCAAAATGATTAAAATTACCACTTAAAATTGTTATGCATATTTTGTCTTTTAATAAGCTATGGCGCGAAATAAGTATTGATCCATCTTTATAAGTATTAGTACTTATTTAGAAGAAAATATAATTATTGCTATAAAAGGTAATTTTTTTATGTTTTAAAGTTGACTGAAAAAAACCTGAAAAATAAACGCTTTTAAAGTCTGCAACCCTAATAAAGACGGAAAAAACAGCATTGTTATTTTTATTTCGACATCTTGCTGTAAAATAGCTATTACTAGTTGTTTTAAAATATTTTGTGGAAAGTTTTTATTTGTTCAATAAAACATTTAAAAAAAAAAGCTTATAGATTTATTATTTCGCTAATAATGATATGTTCAAAAGTACTCCTCTAGGTGGTCAAAACTACCTCAGCGGTGGGGTACATTCGACCACTTTGAGGCCTTTAAAAGAGTGGTAGATATAACAAAAATAAATATTTTATATGCTTTATTTTTTTAATTTGTTTGACCATTACTTGTAATACTAAAAAAATTTAATTGTTTCTGGAAAAAAATCTGTTGTAAATTAATAAAAACCAGCTAAGTGGTCAAATGTTTCCTGTCTTCCCCTACAAATAAAGTAAAGACAAAGTGCTGAAATATGTATATATATATACACACATACATATATACACATATACACACATACATACCCGTACACATACAAGTACATACAAACGCACACATATATATATATACACATATATATATATATATATATATATATATATACATATACATATGTGTATATATATATGTATATATATATAATATTTATATATACATATATATGTGTATATATATACGTATATATATATATATATATATACATATATATATATATATACATATATATATATATATATATATTTATACATAACACACACACACGCATATATATATATACATATATATATGTATATATATATATATATATATATGTATATATATATATATATATATATATATATATATATATATATATATATATATATATATATATATATATATATATATATATATATATGTATATATATATATATATATATATATATATATATATATATATGTATATATATATATATATATATATATATATATATATATATAAATAAATATATATATATATATATATATATATATATATATATATATATATATATATATATATATATATATATATATATATATATATATATATATATGTATATATATATATATATATATACACACACACACTTATAAAAACCAAATAGGGAAAGCAGAAAGATAATAAAAATAATGGTGTTGTAAGATCCAATTGAAATTAAGTAGTGGACTAATGTAGGTGAAACTCCATCTTCAGGGCCACAATATATTCACCAATGATGTTTTGGAGAGCCTGATAAAAATGGCTAGCTTTGCTCATCTGGGATCTTTGCTATCTCTATCATCGCTTGTAGTCTACATCATATAAGTCATTATTGCAAAAAACATACCTCTCTACAGAAAAGCCAATCACCCATACCCCTCCCAAATTTAGGCAACACCAATAATTTTTAGAAAAATGGGGATATAGAGAAAAACATGCACAAAAAGTAGATATCATAAATATAACAATAATAAACAGTAATATTTAGTGTAAACACACATTAGGATATAAAAAGTAAAAAGATAGATTAGTATCTTACCATATTCGATTTTATTGAATTGAGTTAAAACATGTTTTTAATGCTTTTTTTGTAAACAGCTATTATTTCTATAATGAAATGAAATAAAGTTAATATAAACTCCACATTTTGAATATGGTTGTATGGCTGTATGGTTTCCTTACCTTAAGGAGATAAGGAGAGTCTCTATTGGAGCAAGTACAGAGGCAAGCAACTAAAATAATTCTCTCTCCTAAAAACATGATATATGAAGAAAGACTCATAAGTTCAAATTTAACACAACTTTCAACTTTACGATTGAGAGATGTCTTGATACAAATTTTATAAATAATCAATATAGATAATATAAATCTAACTTTAAATAGATATAGTTCTAAAAGTAATTAAATGTTAAAGAAAATCAGATTTAAATATGTGGACACAAATTTAGATACCAATTTTTCTGAAAATGCTTCTAGACAAAGTTATTTCCTTAATCAAGCTGCAAAGGCATGGTATGAATTACCAGATGAAATAGTCAATATGCGTTGCTTAAATCAGTTCAAAGCAATATTTACAAGTATCAACAAAAGGATGATAACTTATATTTGTAAATGGTTGTTTTAGCCTTTTACATATCACTTTGTTATGCATGTTTGACATGCATACCAAAGTGATATGTAAAAGGCGCTGATATAGTGATATAAATACCAAACCTGGCAATTTGAATTTTCACATTGGTACCATTCCATATTTTGACTTGCTGAAGTTTTGCCCAAAACTTTTTGACACTTTTTACACTTGAATTGGTTTGCAGCTAATATTTTTGTTGGACTTGTTGCTTGGTTTATTTACTGTTCTCCATAAGAGCTAAGCTTACATTGTTTTTTAGCTTGCTTTGCTGCTTTTTTACTCCCAGCATCTTTCAACCTTTCAAGTATTTCAGGTTTTTTTGAGACACTTCCCTTCGAATCTTGGCACATCTACATTTTTTTTGTGTGTGTCAATGTGTTGGATACAAAACATTTGTTGCAAAGCTGCTGCAAGTGATTGGGCTGATTGCAGTTGTTTTGCAACCTCTTTTTGAATTTCCTTTTGAATAGCCGGAATTTCTACAATATTGAAGGTTGTTTGAAGACAAGATGAATTTTGAAATGACTTTGGAGCTGATACTATGTGACATATGCTGATGCTAGATGTTGTTGGTGTAGATTCAGAGGGCAGTGGCTGAGGTAGTATAGTTCCTGGTGCTAGATTTGGTGATGGTACTATCATAGATTCTGTTTATTGAGATAAAGGCTCAGGTTCAGATGTTAGTGTTTCAAACGTATTAGCAAGTTGCAACTTTGATTGATCAGTTTTATTGATGTTGAGTGGAAACAAGCCAGTATTCTGAAATCCAGAGACTATCTGGGTTCGTGTAAAAACTTCAGCAGAGCTGAAAAGTTTTTTTAGCAGGTGACTGAAACATTCATTTGATAAGTTGCTGAACTTTGTGTCTGCATATAACTGTTGATGTAATTTGCGCCAAACTCTTTTGACATGGCAATGAACACCAACATCTAGTGGCTGCAGAATGTGTGACGAGTGAGCTGGTAAGCAAATTAACAAGAGAGTAACTAGCGTATTTCATTTATTTATTAAAACCATTTATTAGATTTATTTTATTTTATAAAAGCAGTAAATAAAAATCATTTAAATCCAGTTCGAAAAATTCGTTCATTGAAATTTATAGTTGGAGATTTATTGGTCACTTGAGATCTAATTAAAAAAGCCGCTTTTAAGAAATAAGCTATTGCTTCGTATATATTTATTTATTAGCGTATTTCGTTCAAACCCACAACACTCCATTTCCGTTTTAAACTCATAACTTTTTTTCCTAAATAGCAAATTTAATTTTGAAAAAAGATTCTTGATCAGCGTAAAAAGTTGTACCAGTAATTTTAAGTTCAAAGATATTGAATTTAATTACTGAGAGTTTTAAGTTCATTTTTCAAACAAATACAAAAAATCTTGTTATACATTCAAAAACATATAAATTTATAACAAATTTTTTTTTATTAAAAATAAAATTTTATACAATCTTACTCAGAAAAATATTCTCTACAATATAATTAATAAATATTTGCAAAAAAATTATTCAATAGTTAATTAAGAACAAAAGAATAAACATTGTCATAACTATTTCATTCTACCCGGTATTTCATTTCATCCTGTTTTACTCTAGTTTATATATGTTTTAATATTTTATTTTGTGCAAACCAAGCTTGTAATTTTTTGTCTTTTTGTTAAGTGTGGCAGTATTTAACACTTTTCACTTTCTCTTCTTGCTTAACCAAATTATTTTAAACTTGATTATTCAAATTCTTTTGCAAAGTTTTAGACAAGTATATATATATAAATTTTTCTATTTTAGAAAAGAAAACATCAGAAGCAGAAAATGATTATGTACCTATACAACCAGAACCCCAAAGTCTGTATGAGCGTATGTTTGACTCAATCTTGTTTTATTTTAAAATTATAAAGTTATTAATTTTTAAAAATTATTTAATTATCATTAAATAGTAATATTTACTATATTAATTTAATTTCTTTTACATTTTCAAGAAATGTAAAAGAAGTAAAAGATAAATGTAAACGTATATGACTCAACTTGTTTTATTATAAAATATTCAGATTAAACATTAGTTGATTATCATTAAGTTACACGATTTGCTAAATTATATATATTATAAATATATAATATAAGTATATTAATTTAATTTCCTTTACATTTGCAAGAAATATTGATATTTATTTTTATAAAAGTTTTTTTTTTTAAATTACTTTCGTTTTTTAATGATTTTAGCTTATGTATTAAGAAATTCTTCAAACTTGAATTCTGAATATAAATCTCAAGAAAATCCATATTGTGAATGAAATTTCGGAGTTAGCACTATATATATCAGGTAAGTGTTTAAAATTTTTCTTTTTAATGATTAATGTTAAAAGTTGAATAAAAGTTTTTTTTGTTATCTATGCATGCATATATATATATATATATATATATATATATATATATATATATATATATATATATATATATATATATATATATATATATATATATATATATATATGTATATGTGTATATATATATATATATATATATATATATATATATATATATATATATATACATTACCATTTATAATTATTCGAATGATATTAACATTTTTTTTAAATGTTGTTTTTTATTCAACTATTATTTTTGTTTGTTTTTTCATTAATTTAAAAAACATAAAAATATTTTTATTGAATTGCTTTGATAAAAATCATAAGAATAATAAAAAAGTTGGCAAAACTACATAGAAGATGGACCATCAATGACTGTATATGTGCACCAATGTGTCGAAGTTTTAAACCTTTGGTTTTAAATAGTAATGTACTGATAGCACATTTGTGCCAATGCCGATGGATGGGAAAAGGCCGATGAATGAAGTAATTATTAAAATTTGAAAATATGAAACCATACAAAATAAAATTATTCTAAAAACAACATGGTAATAAAAGTATAAGTACATTCAGTTGTTAAACAGCTAATGGTATTAAACTTTCAAAGTAATAAAAATGTTTCAAAGGTAAAAAGACATCTTCTTAAGAATAAACAAGTTAATAACACATCTTCTTAAGAATAAACAAGTTTGCCAGTAAAGTCAAAATCAACCAATTTCTCAAAAAAATTATAAAAAATGCATAAAGTTTAGTTTATTTATTTTTTAATTATTATCATAATGCAGGATAAAAATGCTGCCAGTTGGAAAATCGATAAATTAATAAAAAAAAGGTTGATGCTGATACTGATTCCAATTGTGCAAAAAGTGGCTGATTAAGCCAATGCCGATTAATTGGTATATCACTAATTTTAGAAGATTGTCTGAAAAAAATTGTTGAATGTATGATAAAATAGTGTGTATTATCGACTGTAAAACATGGTTGTAAGAAGTGTTAAGGGTTTGGACTGTTTTGGTCAGAATGTCACAGGTGACATTGTAAAAACAGAGGGAATAATCACATAAGTAATTTACTTCGACACCTAAAAAGTAATGCTATTCTTTTAGAAAGTTTTGTTAATGGAAAACCATTTATTTTTTTAGAAGAATATGACTTACAACTTAAATCCAAAACATATTTTTCAGAATTGTATAAGTTATTTGACTTGGAGTTCAAGAATGATCAAATATTGAATAGAATGGTTTAGACTCCCCAATCGCAAGACCTCTCTCCTATTTGATTTTTATGGGGTTAATTAAAAGTAATGTCAAAAACTAATGCCTAGTGATGCATAAGATGTGAAAAAAACTTATTAGTTAGTGGCATAAAATTGACTTCAACAAATTAGATAAATTGTTAAGTTGAATGCCAGGAATATGTATGGCGGTTATTGTCCATAAGGGTGATTGATAGGCAAGTAAACTAATCTGATGGAAGTTTATATTAACTTCATTGTAAATCTAACAAATAGGAAGATATAACTTATAAGTAGATTTTGTTTTCAGTTTTTCTCCCAATAGTAGATAAAATTTTGATATCTTGTATTGAAAAGTATGTTTGAATAATTATGGGCAATATATATATATATATATATATATATATATATATATATATATATATATATATATATATATATATATATATATATATATATATATATATATATATATATATATGTACATGGAGTGTACATTGGAGTCCAGGAGTCCCTGTTTTTACCCAGAGTCCGAATTCCCGCTTGTCTGCCGCCTAAAAATTGTTGGGATATTTTTAATTTTATACCAGCATATGACCGTTTTGTAAATAACCCTCATTAACTTTTATAAGTTTATTAATATAAATATGATTAGTCAACATTGACTAACTGTAAACCAGTAAAAGCACAAACACATTGAATAATCCTGCATATTGCAAGCCCTCCGGCATATAAATTATTAAAAGATTGCAGTGTTTTTATGCCATACATTGCCTATAGCTTTTAAAGAATATAAGAGGTAAACCTATTTTATCAAACTTGATAATCATGTATGATAATTATGTTTACAAATTTAAACAAATATTAGTTCCTCTTTTTGTCTTTCGTAATGTCTTAATCCACCGTTCCTAGCTCAACGTCACAAAATAATTAAGAGTTGTTTTGATTTCAATTCTGCCATTATGGAGGACAACTAAGTTAGCGGAACTAATATGTTAATTTTTATTTTCATAGTTTTTTCAAAAAATATATTATTTTATAAAATTTAATGTATTTATAACCAAAATAAGAAAATATAAATCCTAATCTAATTTATTTAGTTATTATCATTTTTTTATTTCAAGTTTAATATATAAATATGGAAATGTTGTAATAGAAAAAAATATTATAATATGGTCAACTTTTGTGCTGTATTTGAGTGTTCAAATCGTGAAAAGGGTAAATCTTTTTTTCGTTTATCAAAAGTAGTTTGCAATCAAAGTGATGATGATAAGATTTTATCAAAGGAACGTAGAGAAAAATGAATAAATGCCATAAACAAAGTTGGTAACTATCCTGATGTCCTCCACTTTTGAATTTGCAGTGATCATTTTATTACAGGTAAAAATAGCCTTTTTACCTTTGAAACATTTTTATTACTTTGAAAATTTAATACCATTAACTGTTTAACACTTTTATATTTTTATTTAGGAAAACCTGCTTTTCTTTTCTCACAGAATGGGATTGGGTTCCATCCTTAAATCTGGAGCACAAAATGTTTAAATTTGAGGTTGAGAAACCTAAAGAAAGATACTTATGACACAAAAATCGTTCATTGTTAACAAGTCGAAATGATTCTATGCATTCTATGTAAATTTTCAAATAGAGAATTTTGAAAGTAGTGAATCAAATGGCTCAGAAAGTGTTACAATAGATTTTGAAAACTTAGTAGATGTGAGTGTTCAAACAAATATGACTATCAAAAATATCAATCAAATAGAAACTGAGTTTATATATAAAAACAAACTTAATTATGATTTGCGTCAAGCTCTACATGGTAACTATTGAATGGTTTGATACAGATTCAAAAGTAACATTTAACACTGGGTTGCGAAATTTGAAAATTTTATGTTATTTATTTAACTTTTTAAAACCTCTTATATCTGAAAATGATAACTCAGTTTAATCGTACTTATGAGATTGCGTTTTAATCTATCTATTAGACATTGCTTATAGATTTGAAATTTCAAAATTGACCTTATCAAAAGTATTTTTAAGATGGATTGTCATTACGTACTTCAGAACGAAACATTTAGTTAAATGACCTGCTCGCAATGAGCTTGTAGAAACTATGTCTTTATGCTTCAGAAAATATTTTGAAACAAAAGTGGCTGTAATAATTGAATGCTTTGAAATATTCATAAATAAACCATCTAATCTAAGCGTAAAAGCAGCAACTTGGTCACAGTACAAACATCACAATACTATTAAATTCTTAATAAATGTAAGTCCACAAGGTGTGATAACATTTATTTCTAAAGCTTGGGGAGGACATGTTAGCGATAAATACTTAACAGAGCATTGTTCAATTTTAAAAACATTCTTCCTGGAGATGTTATTTTAGCTGATAGATGTTTTAACATTGCTAAGAGTGTTGGCTTTTATTGTGGGGAGCTAAATATTCCAGGATTTACTAAAGGAAATTTACAATTAACTTGTTCAAATGTATAAACAAAATAAATAAAAAATAAATATTATCAAATTAAGTATCAAATATTTTTTGAAAAAAAATTGTTTACATTTTGTTATATTCCTGTCCATAAATTCCAAATCCGGCAATATTTTTTCGCAATACGAATATTTTGATGTCCAAATAAAAAAATCACTCAATAAGTAATAAAAATAACCCAATAAATAATAAAAATACAAGTTTATTATAACAATCAAGAGCTTTGTATGCTTTTAACTGATCCTTAGACTAAGGTCTATTTGCTCAAAGTCTTCTTACTAAGGCTTAGTAAGAAGACTTTAAGCAAATAAAAAATAGTTAAAAATATCCGGATATGTAACAGTTGAATAACTATCTATATTATCAGAGAAATCAGTATTTTTAAAAAGATATGAGCCAACGATAAAAGCCTTTTTTTCTAAATATCTTTGCATTTGAATCAAGCTGAAACAAATATTCGCTTTCAGTTGACATTGCCGAACTATTTGTTTACGTTTGTTTGTCCTCCATAATGGCGGAATGCATATTTAGGTATAGTTAGAATAAATTAATAAATAGGTAGAATTATTCGGACTAAAAGGAACATTTCTAAATATAATATATTGAAAACGCATTCTCATTTTTTGTTTAACGGCAGTGGATCTAATATTTCATAAGATCTAACTTTCTACCACTGATCACGTAATTCAGTTGATATAAAATACCAAACAAAAAAAGATAAACAATAGGCCGGGTAAATGAAAAAAAGCAATCGCTTTTACATAGTAATTGGCCAGCTTTAAGTGAATAAAAACCTCAGCAACTTTGCTCAAACTTCTGTTTACGTAAAGCTGAACAACTATTTTTTTTATTATTATTATTATAGTTGTAGCCGTAAATTTACATAGAATGTACACATACAGCGAGCAGGGAAAACACCCCACTATAAACAACCAGTTTTATAAATATTTGTTCCAAACTTTTTCCACAACCAGGAGTCTAGTCTATTTTTGAAAGAAAGTACAGTGGAGTACAAAGTTATTTGCTCTGGTAGATTGTTCCAGTATTTTGCTGATCTATTATACAAATGATTATATCTTGGAAGACAGTTTAGAACATACTCACGCCTTATTTTAGAATGGTGACCACGAGACACGGAGTTAATATATTTTGGTAGATATTTATCATTAACTATATCAAAACGATGTATTAATTTAAAAATTTGGATTAAATCGCATCGAAGGCGTCGAAAC